ATCCCAGCTACTCAGGAGGCTGAGGCAGGAGAATTACTTGAACCTGGGAGGGGAGGTTGCAGTGAGCCCAGGTCACACCACTGAACTCCAGCCTGAGCAACAAACAAAAACCCACAGGGAGGCATGAACCAAGAGTGGCTGGAAGGTGGAGCAGGATCTTTAAAAAGTGAACCCTGATGCCTGTGGCCATGAAGCCTTTAACAGCGTTAAACAGAAAGTGTGGGAAACATCTGTACCCCCCCACCCCGGGCTGCCCACCTCAGGGCTGAACGTTATACCACCTGTTGCACACGGAGCAGGACAGAAGACACCCACCTACCTGGGTCCCCACTGCCCAGGCGTACCCACTAACCTTTCAGTGAATACCTTTGTATGCCTCTTTATTTTCTTTATTTTTTTCTTTTTTTGAGACAGGGTCTCACTCTATCACCCAGGCGCGATCTCAGCTCACTGTAACCTCCATGTCCCGGGTTCAGGCAACCAGGGTGATCCTCCTGCCTCAGCCTCCCAAGTAGCTGGAACTGCAGGCATGTGCTGCCACCACACCCAGCTAATTGTTGTATTTTTTGTAGAGGCAGGGTTGCGCCATGTTGCCCTGGCTGGTCTCAAACTCCTGGGCTCAAGCAATCCTCCTGCCTTGGCTTCGCAAAGTGCCAGGATGACAGGTGTGAGCCCCGCGCCCGGCCTGGATACTTGTTTCTAGACCCACATGTTTGACCTCACATAAATGAAATATTATACATGCTGTTTCATTATGGAAACTTTTTTTTTTTAAAAGAGTCAGTCTCTTGCTCTGTTGCCCAGGCTGGAGCGCAGTGACCCAATCATAGCTCACTGAAGCCTTGAACTCCTGGGCTCAGGTGCTCCTCCTACCTCAGCCTCCCAAATAGCTGAGACTACAGGCATGTGCCACCATGCCCAGCTAACTTCTTTCTTTTCTTTTCCCTTCTCTTTCTTTTGTTCTTTTTCTTTCTTCCTTTCTTTCCTTCCCTCCTTCCTCTCCCTCTTCCTCCCTTCCTCCCTTTTCTTTCATTTTCGCCCTTTCTCTCTTTTGGACAGACTCTCACTCTGTTGCCCGCAGTGCAGAGGCTCGATCTCAGTTCACTGCAAACTCTGCCTCCTGGGTTCAAATGATTCTCATGACTCAGGCTCCCGGGTAGCTGGGACTACAGACATGCCACCACGCCCAGCAAATTTTTTCTGTTTTTAGTAGAGACAGGATTGCGCCATCTTGGCCAGGCTGCTCTGGAACTCCTGGCCTCAAGTGATTCACCTGCCTTGACCTCCCAAAGTGCAGGGATTACAGGCATCAGCCACTGTACCTGGCCTTGCCCACTGATGGAGTTTTGCTCTCGTTGCCCAGGCTGGAGTGCAATGGCGTGACCTCGGCTCGCTGCAACCTCTGCCTCCTGGGTTCAAGCGATTCTCCTGCCTCAACCTCCCACATAGCTGGATTATAGGCATGTGGCTCCATGCCCAGCTAATTTTATACTTTTAGTAGAGACAGGGTTTTGCCATGTTGGTCCAGCTGGTCCAAACTCCTGACCTCAGGTGATTCGCCTTCCTCGGCCTCCCAAAGTGCTGGGATTACAGGCGTGAGCCACCACACCCAGCCCTAATTTCTTTAACTGTTTATCGAGGTGGGGGTCTCGCTGTGTTGCCCAGGCTGGTCCCAACTTCCTGGCTTCACACCATCCTCCTGCCTCAGCCTCCCAAAGTGCTGACATGATAGGCGTGAGACAGTGTCCACAGCAGGGACACTTAAAAAAATTTTTTTTGGCCGGGCACAGTGGCTCACGCCTACAATTACAGCACTGTGTGGGGCCAAGGTGGGCAGATCATTTGAGGTAGGAGTTCAAGACCAGCCTGACCAATATGGTGAAACCCCATCTCCACTAAAAACACAAAAATTAGCCAGGCGTGGTGGCAGGTGCTTATAATCCCAGCTACTTGGGAGGCTGAGGCAGGAGAACAGCTTGAACCTGAGGGAGCAGGGAGGTTGCAGTGAGCTGAGATAGCACCACTGCACTCCAGCTTGGACGACAGAGAGACTCCATCTTTAAAAAAAACGTTTTCCTGTGCTGTGCCTGGGCTCTGTCCTCTGTCAGTGCTGGGAGCGTGGTGCGTGCCTTGGCCTCCGGGTTGCAGGTACATTCACTCTTCCACCTGCATTCTTGTTTGCCCTACGAAATAGAACTCTTTGTTCCTATGTCTCTGCATCTTGCTTCGCTCAGGACCAGACTTTTCTGGGTTTAAGTTAGCGGTTCTCAGCCAGGGCCGTTTTGCAGTGTCTTGAGACATTTTTGGTTGTCGTAATTGGAGAGGGTGAGGGTGGCATCCAGTGGGTCCAGGCTAGGGGTGCTGCTGAACACCCTACAGTGCCCAGGAGAGCCCCCCCGCAAACAGGGATCTGGCCCAAATGTCAACTGTGCGAAGGCTGAGAAGCCCGGCCCCTAATGAGGAAGATTAATAATGAAATCCACCGTCATCTTCAGGACGTCCTATGCCGAACAGCCCCACCGGTGGACGCTGGGAAGGGACACCAGGGCTGGGTGCCTATTGTGACCAAGAGTCTGAGGCCTGGCTGGATGGGGAGGCACAGATGGGCTGCCTGCTCCTCTCTGAGAGCCACATGTCACCTGACTACAGAAACCTCCCAGCCAGCCAGCCTCAGACCCGCTCCCCACATTCCCCTACAGCTGCCAGCTCCCTGCTAACAGAGACTGCCCGGGACGCGGTGTTCTCCTGGCTGCCGGAGCTCTGGCCGTCGGCAGGGGTCAGTTTCCCGGGGCGTGTGGGGCCAGCATCCATGCCCTCTCCTGATGAGAACATCTGGCTCTCCAGACCTGCTGGAAAGAGCATGGGGGCTTCAGGTCCACTCAAGCTGTCTCCAGAAAGTGAACACGACCTGCTCAGGGGCAGATGGCTCTCCTCCAGCCTGGGAGGGCGAGGCCTTGGAGAAGAGCAGGCGTCCTCCTGCCAACCCGGCAGGAGATGACCTGAGACGGGAGCAACAGGGAGGAGGCCTTGGCACTTCCTCTGGCCCCAAATAGCATTCACTAGGTCCAGCCTGGGATGTGTTTGCCGGCCGTGTTTGGGCGTGGGTGCACACACGCCTGACGTCTCTGCTGTGCTCTGCCGGGAAGGTCTCTTCAAGGGGGTGGGGGAGCAAGGCGATGTTCCTGGTGGGAAGTGGTAGCCCCTGGGGCGTGGTCTGAGGGGCCCTTAAAACCACCCCCCACCCCACCCCCTGTACTCCACAGGCCTCCCTCATGCTTTGTCTGTCCTAAGAGGCTGAAAGCCTTTTCTCTGAAGCTGCTCCAAGCCAAGGTCCCCCAGGCTGCAGCTGGGCTGGGTGTACCTTATGGTCCGCCTGTTAGCCTACCCACCAATATCAAGATGAGAGGTGAAGGCGGCTGGTGAGGACTGAAGCATGGGCCGGGCGTGGTGGCTCACGCCTGTGTTCCCAGCACTGTGGGAGGCCGAGGCGGGTGGATCACCTGAGCTCAGGAGTTTGAGACCAGCATGGACAACATGGTGAAACCCCGTCTCTACTAAAAATACAAAGATTAGCCTGGTGTGATGGTGGGCGCCTATAATCCCAGCTACTCAGGAAGCTGAGGCAGGAGAATTGCTTGGGCCCGGGAGGCAGAGGTTGCAGTGAGCCGAGATCATGCCACTGCACTCCAGCCCGGGTGACAGAGTAAGAGTCTGTCTCAAAAAAAGAAAAAAAGGATTGAAGCAGTGGAGGTAGCTCCCAGCCTAGGGTC